AAGGAAGAATTCCCACCCCCCACCCCAATTACTAGTGCCCAACTGGGGTGGGATGCTGGGGAGGGAGGGTGGGATGGGGAACGGTCACCCAGCCTGGGGGTACCCCCGTGGCAGTGGGGGGGTGTCTTGTTTTGGAGAATGGGGAGAGCGGTTGTGTTGTTTCACCCGAGTGTTCTCCTGCCCTGTGTCCCTGCCCTGCCCGTGCCTCAGTTTCCCCACTCATCCAAACGCGGCTCTGTCAAAGGCAGCCCCCATGCTGCCCCCCCAAAAAACCTGCCCTGGAATCCCCGGGGCTCCCCATGCCGGGGCACCCTCAGCCCTATCTCGGCGCCCGGCGCCGGTGTCCCAGATGGTTCCTCCTTTGGCAGCGATAGCGCCTGGTTTCGTCACCACCGGGGTGGGGGGAGCTGAGCCCCATCTCCTCCCCGCTGCACACCAGCGCCCAAATAAACAACCCAACCCGCGGGCTGAGGCGGCCGGGCTGTGCGGGGTCCGGCATGGAGACCCCCCGTCACCCCCTGCCCCCCGGGGCCGGGAGGGGGGAGCAGGGCAGCGGGGGCTGCCGGCGGTGTCCGTACCGGGCGGCAGGGAGGAGGCTGAGCACCTCGGATGGGGTGAGCACCCCTACGGTGGGATGGGTGTTCCTGGGTCCTGCTGGCCGCTGCTGCTTGCCTGGCGGGGGGATCTCCCTCTAGCTTAGGGGGGCTGTTGGGTAGAGAGGGGGGCTGCAGCGCACAGCCCTTCACCCCGTTCCTCTCGCTCAGATCCCGCAGGAAGGTGCTGAGGGCAGCCTGCGCCAGCTCCTCATCGAGGCCTTCATCTCGGCGGGCAGGGTGGACAACGTCGCCATGGTCATGGGGCTGCACCCCCAGTATCTCAGCAGCTTCTGGAAGACCCAGTACCTCCTGCTGCGCATGGACGGGCCCCTGCCCTACCACAAGCGTCACTACATCGCCATCATGGTGAGGACGGGGGTTACCAGGGGGTCTCAGCACCTCCGCTGGGGTTTTGCCTGGAGGCAGGAAGGTTTTTGGGACCCCAAAGATGAGCCCCCACTTCTGGTCTGGGGTCCCAGAGGCTTGGAAGCTCCTTTGGGGTTGATCCCACAGCGCCCACCCAGTGTACTCCAGCACCTCTGGGGCACCAGCATTAATTGGGGGGAGGCAGAGAGCCCTGTCTGGACTCTTATCCCCAGGGGAGACCCTCCAAGAGTGATGTGGGGAGGGGGTGACTCCCTGCCTTGGCTTCTCCAAGGACTTGTAGCAAGGTTGGGGGGCTCCTGGCGGTGTTGGGGACTGACTGCTCAGCTCTCCCCGCAGGCAGCAGCCCGGCACCAGTGCTCCTACTTGGTGGGCTTGCACATGGGGGAGTTCCTGCAGGTGGGGGGCAACCCAGCATGGCTGCAGGGGCTGCACTGTGCCCCCCAAAAACTCAGGAACCTCAACGAGATCAACAAACTGCTGGCGCATCGGCCCTGGCTCATCACCAAGGAGCACATCGAGGTGAGAGCTGATGCTGCTGGCACAGATGTCCCCCCCTCTCCCCCAAACACTCTCTGCTTTTGGGGGCTTGACCCCAGGGGCCACATCCCTGCTTGCACAAGCCCTCTCCCCAGTTTAACCCTTTCAGGACATTAGGAAGCATTTCTTTCCAGAAGGGGTTGTTGAGCGTTGGAATGGGCTGCCCAGGGCAGGGGGGGAGTCCCCATCCCTGGGGGGGTTGAAGAGTCGGGCTGAGCCAGCACTGAGGGATCTGGGGGAGTTGGGAACGGTCAGGGTGAGGGTCATGGTTGGGCTGGAGGAGCTTCAGGGGCTTTTCCAACCAAGGTGATTCTCTGAGTCTCTGGGCTAGAGGGCAGGGTCTGTGCTGCTCCTGATGGGAAGGGGGTGACTTGTCCCCCGTGGCTGGGGACTGTCCTGCTGACAGTGGCTGGTCTGTGGGGGGAAGCACATCCCAAACACCCTCCTGTCTCCCTGCCCTTGACTTCCCGTGTCTCTGGGGTGCAGTGGGGGGTACAGCACAGTGAGCCGGGGGGCTGGGGAGCTCCCTCCAACCCTGTGTGCTTTGCAGGCTCTGCTGAAGACGGGGGAGCACAGTTGGTCACTGGCGGAGCTGGTGCAGGCCCTGGTGCTCCTCACCCACTACCACTCGCTCGCCTCCTTCGTCTTTGGCTGCGGGATCAACCCTGAGGAGGAGCAAGATGGGGGGCACAGCTGCCAGCCCCCCTCGCCGCACAGCGACAGCAGCCCTGCCTCTGACGATAGCGTGGGGGGCTCTGGGGTAAGGAGGAGGGGGGCTTTGCCTTGCAGGGGTGGGTGTGTGGGATGGGAAGGGAAGGCATGGTGGGGTGCTGGGCTGCCTTATGGTGTTTCCCTGGGAATTACCCCGGGGCTTATTGGGAATAGCAGATGCTTCAGGGCTGCAGAGTAGCATCCTTCATGCAGTATCATCATCCTCGGCACGGCTTCCCCCTCCTCCTAGTCCCCTGGATGAGGCACAGGAGCAGCTCTGGGGGTCTGGGCAGGACAAACCCCGAGGCAAAATGGTCTTTAGAGCAGTCCTGGGGCTGCTCCAAGTGACAGCAGAGCTGAGAGCGGCTCTGTGCTGCTCTGAGCTTACAACCCCTCCGCAACCTTGCTGAGCCTGGGGCAGGGCTGACTCTGCCCTCTGCTTGGCCAGGGCAGAGATGCCATGCGGGAGGTGGAGGTGCTGATGGAGAGGATGAAGCTGCTGCAGGAGAGCCAGCTGGAGGAGGAGGGCGTCACGCAGGAGGAGATGGCAACGCGCTTTGAGCTGGAGAAGACGGAGAGTTTGCTGGTTGCTCCCACGGGTGAGGAGGTGCAGGGGGTGCAGCTGCCTGGGGACGGGGTCCCTGTGGGCCAGGGATGTCACAGGGGAGGGGGGAAGGAGCCAGCATCTGCCTGGGGCACAGTAGGATCAGGCCCCCAGCTGCAGGGCTGGCTCTGTCCGGGGTCACACCGTGTCGCTCACGGCCGCTGTGGCGGTGCCTTGTAGATATTGCAGATCACTCCCTGCAGTCCAACGTCCTCTGCTTCGTGGAGGACCCCGAGTTCGGCTACAAGGACTTCACGCGGAGGGGCGAGCAGGCGCCCCCCACCTTCCGTGCGCAGGTGGGTGTTGGTGGTCCTACGCTAGCCGGAGGGGAGGCAGGGTGCTGAGTGGCAGGTCCTGTTTGTCTCGGAGTGGGGACAGGGGCTCTTTCCAGGGTCTCGGCGCTGCAGGGGCAGTGTGGGTGCAGAGGGCGAAGGGCTGGGACCAGGCTGGAGCTGTCTGGGCAGCTCAACCAGTTGCAGGGGTCAGCTTTGGGGGGAGACCCCTGCTTATGTCCCTGGCTTTGAAGGAACCCCGTGTTTCCCTGTCAAGCCCCTACCCCAGCGTCCTTTCTCTGGCAGGATTACACCTGGGAGGACCACGGCTACTCGCTGATCAACCGCCTCTACCCTGACGTGGGGCAGCTCCTGGATGAGAAGTTCCAGGTCGTCTACAACCTGACGTACAACACCATCGCCATGCACTGCGGCGTGGACACCTCCATGCTGCGCCGGGCCATCTGGAACTACGTCCACTGCGTCTTCGGCATCCGGTACGTCCCCGACCCGCGGCCGGAGACTCTTCTCTGCCCTGGGTAAAGTCTGTGAGCAAGTCCAGCCTGGGAGCCTGCAACTTGGTCTTGCTGAGACTTGCTGTTGCTTAGAGCCAGGCAAAGCAAGGATCTGCTCTGCAGAGAGACCTGGGCAGGCTGGAGTGATGGGCTGAGCCCAACTGGGGGAGTTTCACTAAGGCCAAATGCCGGGTTCTGCCCTTGGGCCACAACAACCCCCAGCAGGGCTGCAGGCCTGGGGAGGGGCGGCTGGAGAGCTGCGGGTCAGAGAGGGACTGGGGGGGTGAGAATGAGCCAGAGTGTGCCCAGGGGGGCAAGAGGGCAAATGGCATCCTGGCTTGTGTCGGCACTGGCGTGGCCAGCAGGGACAGGGAAGGGATCTGAGCCCTGGGCTCGGCACTGGTGAGGCCGCCCCTCGCTGAGTGGGTTCAGTTTTGGGCCCCTCACCCCAAAAAGGCCATTGAATGACTCGAGCGTGGCCAGAGAAGGGCAACGGAGCTGGGGCAGGGTCTGGAGCACAGGTCTGCTGGGGAGCGGCTGGGGGAACTGGGGGGGTTCAGTCTGGAGAAGAGGAGGCTGAGGGGAGACCTCCTGGCCCTCTGCAACTCCCTGCCAGGAGGGGGCAGAGAGGGGGGATGAGTCTCTGGAGCCAAGGAGCCAGCGCCAGGCCCCGAGGGAATGGCCTCAAGCTGCCCAGGGCAGGGTCAGGCTGGCTCTGAGGAAGGATTTCTGTGCAGAAGGGGCTGTTGGGCGTTGGAATGGGCTGCCCAGGGCAGGGGGGGAGTCCCCGGGATCCCTGGAGGGGTTGAAGAGTCGGGCTGAGCCAGCGCTGAGGGATCTGGTGGAGTTGGGAACGGTCAGGGGGAGGTTCATGTTTGGGCTGGAGGAGCTTCAAGGGCTTTTCCAACCTGGATGATTCTGTGATCCTGTAAAAGCAAATGCTGTTGGGCTCGGCTTAAGCCTGGAAAGACCCCAGGGTGTGTGAATGGTCAGGGGTTGTGCCCGGAGTAACGCGCCCTCCTCTCTCCCCCAGCTATGATGACTACGACTATGGGGAGGTGAACCAGCTCCTGGAGCGCAGTTTGAAGATCTACATCAAGACGGTGGCTTGCTACCCAGAAAAGACAACCAAACGGATATACACGCAGTTCTGGAGACACTTCAAACACTCAGAGAAGGTGCTGCCCCATCCCTTCCCCTCCTGGCAGGCTGTGGGGGGATGCTGAGCCCCCCAGGCCCTGACCCCGCTCTCCCTGTGCAGGTGCACGTCAACCTGCTCCTGCTGGAGGCTCGGATGCAGGCGGCTCTGCTCTACGCCCTGAGAGCCGTCACCCGCTACATGACCTGACCGGCCTCCGCTCCCTCCTCCTCCTCCTGTCCCAGGTTTGGGGGAAAGGCTGGGGGCAGCTGCTGGACTAAAGACTCTGCTGGAATATTGTCTCCCCCCTTAAGGGGCCTGGAGCTGTGGAAGGAAATGGGGAGCTTCCCTGTCCCTCATCGCAGGAGAGGGGACCCCAAAGAAGCCATCAGTGCTGGGAAGACCCCGAGTGCTGCCCTGAGCTTGGCAGAGCCGGGAGTGCTCGTCTGCTCCGTGGCTGTCTTGGGGTAAGCCCCAAGGAAGCCAAAGCGGGGTGCCTGGGGGTGCTGCCTTCACTGTGCAGTTGTTACACCTCTGTGCCGTGTCCTGGCACCAAGGCTGCTGCCGCAGAGGACTGTCCTCGTGCAGAGATCACCAGAGGGTATCGTGGGCTTTCCCCCTGCTTCTTGGGAACTTGTCGTGCTGGAACACACGCAGCTGCTGCTGAGGATGCTGCCCTGGCGCCCCCTCCCCAGCTCTCTGCCTCGCACCCACCGCAGGAGTGGTGGGAAGGATCCAGCCATCCCCTTGCCCGCTCGGGCAGCCCCCGGTGCCACTCGTCTCCATGCTCAGTCCCCCCACATCAGGGTCCGAATGGCTGGGGCAGAGGCTGGGGCTCTTTCCTGCCCTGGCCCGGGTGTTTCTGCTGCCGTCAAGTGCTGCTGTGACATGGGGACGGCCCCTCCGGTCCTCCCCACGGACCCTGGCACAGCCGCACCCCAGCCCCCCCCTCGGATGGGGCGGGGGGGGTTGCAGAAGGGGTTAAGCTCTGCCCCATCCTGCCCTCCCGAGCCTCCTGCAGTTTGGGATGTGAAGTGCCTCTTAGCCTGGGTCCCGGGGCAGGACTAGGAGCACCTGAGCTGTGTTTTACATCTTGTATTTGCATCGTTTTTCAGCCACCGGCACATCTGCACTGCCTCAACCTTTGTGGCTGAGTGGGGACCTGTGGAAGGGGTGGGACGTGGGGTGGCCGTAGCTTTCACCAGATGTGCCAGAGCATTTCCCAGTGGCGCGGGTCGCCGGGGAGGTGCTTGATTTGGGGAGCCCCTGCTCCCAGCTCTGCTGGAGTGTGGGTGCGGGTGCAGCAGCATCGCGTGCCACTCGGCCCCTCTTGAGTTGTCTCTGCCGAACTGTCGCTCCAGTTAAGTTATTTCTATATTTTTTGGGTGTATTTACTCCTGACCAGGCATGGAAACACCACTGACTTTGCTACAGGTCTTGTTTGAAAAAAATAAAATTGTTTTTTTTTAATTTTAATTATTTTTTTTTCTTTTTCCAAATGCCTCCACAGTGCAATGCCACCAAGCAAGTGGCTGTAGGATGCAGTTTCCCCTTCCCTTTGCTCAGCCCCAGGGCCTGATCCTGCGTAGTGCAGTGGGGAGTGGGGGTGTCCCACTGCTCTGGGGGGTGGCTGGGAGTAGCCCTGGATTGTCCAAGGGGGCAAATGGGGGGGTGGGGGCATGCACTCCCCATTTTCCTGAGGAGGGTGGGCTCAGCTCCAGTGCACCCTCCTTGTAGTGACCATTCCCAGCCTCTCCTGGGTGTAGCACCCTCCTGGAAAGCCAGGATTTGGAGCACTGACACCCATTCCAGGGTGGGTGTCCTGTGGGATGCTCTGCTCTCGCTGCTGGGATGGAGCTGAGCAGGCTGCAGTGGAGCTGGGGGGTGAAGCAGCACCGGGGACACCACAGCCCCGTGATGCGGAGCCCAGCACTTATCAGGGTGCAGGCAGGAGCCCCTGGCAGCAGCTGATAAGATCCCTGAGGAGGGGACAGCCCGTCCCCCTGCTCCAGCAGATCGAGGTACATCCCTGCTCCGGGTGCCTGAGAAGCTTCGAGGAGCATCGAGGAGCCTGATCCTGGCTCTGGGGCTGTCTGCCCCCCCCCAGCCCCTGCAGACAGGTAGGACCCATCGTGCTGCCCCTCTGATGGGGACATGGGGCTGGGGACATCGAGGCTGGATGGGGCTTGGGCACTACTGGCATGGTAAGGGTTTGCGCGGGGGTTTACAGGGTTTATTTGCACCATGCAGGGGGGAAAAGTGCTCTTAGAGCGGCACAAGGGCAATGGGGAAACTGAGGCAGGAGGGCAGGTCTCCTGTGGCTCTGCTGTCAAAGTCCCTGTCCCCATCCAGGCGTCTGTCCAGGTCCCCTCGCATGGCTGGTGACCGGAGGTGGGTTTATCAAACGTCTTGCAGAGGAGAGCTGCAAAGAGCAGGTAAGGGTTAGCTCAATGCTTACAAGACACTGGAGAATCCCCTGGGGTGTGGGGAGGGCCCTGCCTGCGGGTTGAGCAGTTTTCCTACACTGAGTCACAACCTCCAACTATTTCCCAGCGTGTTTTTCCAGCCCCGGCCAAGGCAACTGAGCCAACGGTGCCTTTGGCTGTGGAGAAAAGACACACACACATTCCCCCCCCCCTGCCGCAGAGGGTTGTATTTCCAGGGTGTCACCCTGGAACACCCAGCCAGCGAGGGGACAGCACCATGCAGGGACCTGTGGGTGCTTGGGGACCCCCAGGGTGCCTTGGGCAGCCCCCAGCCCCTGCCATGGTGACAGCTCCCCGCCCGGGGGGGTTGTGGGTTTAGTCCCTAAATATATTGGGAATGTCAACCATGAGCTTATTTTTAAGTGAGTGGCGTGATCTTAGGGAGGGAGCTTTAAGATTTTTTTCATGCTGGTGGCTTTTCTACTTTATATATGGAGTGTCTTGGGGACCTGGCATGGCTGGAGGTCCCGGTGGGATGGCACCGGCCGTTCAGCTGCAGAGAGGGGAAATTTGTGTCTGTGTTGTTTTTTTGAAAGAAGTGAGAAAATGTCATCTTTTAGAGGCAGCTCAATGACAATCATTAGAAAAGGGTCAAGGCAAGGGGGAGATTCTTTCCAAGGAGGGATTTTTTTCCTGCTGCCTTCTGGCTCTCTTTAAGGCATAACAAAATATTTTGTTCAAGTGGAAGAAATCCTCCAAGTAAAGGCGCTGTTTCTGATCACAAAGCCGTGGGGAGGGGCTGAGCCTTTGGGGGGAAAAAAAAATAAAAAAAATCCTTTGCTGCAGTTTCACCCTGGCATGTCTGGTGAAATCATCACCATCTTGTGGGTTCACCGTTCTGTGTCCCCACCCTGTCCCGCTTTTCCTAGTAATACCAAATAACTGGGATGAGACCAAGTCCAACCAGGTCCTGGGCCACCCAGGGAGCAGCGATGCCACCCCAGCACCCAACCTGCAACCTCAGGCCAGGCTCATGTTTAGACCCTGTGCCTGGGTGATGCATCAGCAATTGCCAACCCCTCGGGGAGGGTGATGGGGGGGAGGTTTTGGCATGGACAGGGCTCCAAGCAGCCGCTGGAGCTGGGTGTGTTTCTCACCCGTGAGGTGTGGGCCAGCGTGGTGGTTTTGGCTTGGGGAGCAGAAGGCACAAGCTCAGGTCACCTCCTCTGGTGCTTAAAAATACATTTGTACGTGTATTTTTTATGTGTATATATATATATATATACACACAGAGATATAGGTGTGCTTTTGGGATGGCTGGCAGCAGCCTGACCTCCAGCACCCCTCTGTACCAGCCTGGCATCCCTGGTTTTCTCCCCAGGAGAGCTTTGCAGCCCGTGGCAAGGAAGGGACTGGGTGGGACAATTGCTCCCTGCCCCCCATCCACCCCATCTTTGATGCTCCTCTGCCCCTCGCCTCCAGCGAGACCCTCCTTAGGCAGCGTGTAGGGGGGTGTGACAGCCTCACCTTAAAGCAGATATTCAAGGGTGCTCATGGACCCGAGGGCTGAGCCCACGGGCCACCCAGGACCCAGCAGCTCCCCCCTCCCCAGGGTGCAGCCCAGGAGGGAGCTGGTGCCTGGAGCCAGTGCTGCCCTGAGCCTCACTTGGCAAAGCAGAAAGGCTTTTGAAAGTGTTATTTTTAATCCCTTCCCCCCCACTACAGTCTTGCAAAGCTTGGCCGAGGCAGCAAGTCCTGGGTTGGGCTCCAAATTTCCCTCCCTGGTTGCCCCGGGTTTATTTTAAATCCACAAAGGATTTACCACGGACAAGCAGCAATTCCTGTGCATCTCCCAACAGACAGGCCTCAGCAGAGAGGACACCTGGGAAGGGCCTGTCTCCTGCTTTATTTTTCTCCCTCTTTATTTCTCTCCCTCTTTATTTTTCTCCCTCTGTATTTTTCCCTTATAGCATCAAATAACTCAGGGGTGAGCCGGTGCCGTGGGGCCTCCTTTAACTCATTGCCTGGGTCATTGTATCGGTTTAACGTCCTTTTTTTTTTCAGGTGGTCACAATTATAAACCAATAAATTCCTCACTCTGTGTTTAACCAAGGCCTGCAATTTGTATGCAGATATATAATTTATTGGCAGCTTTCATTGTCTGTCTTGCAGGGCAGAAGGAGCGTTAATAATCTCCCTACCTGTAGCTGATAGTTATGATCCCAACGTATGCAATTTTTTTGCACTGCAATTGCCCTCAATTTAAAAACATAACGTGTTAGCGGTGTTCAACATGCAGCAATGCAATGGGAAAATAATAATAATAATCATCGTGGGCTGTGCTGACTGAGCACTTGAAGGCTGATGGAGCCCAAAGTGCTTTGCAAAATGGGCATTTCTGGGGCTTGTCATCCCGTAATATGGGGAGGAGGCAGCGGCGTGGTGCCGGGCCAAGGGCCTTCTCTTACCGAGCCCAGTGCCCCCAGCTGCCGGAGGGATTTGAGCTGCTGGGAAAGTCCCTACCCTGGAATTTGTCCAGGACAGGGCTCAGCCCATGCAAGGCTGGAGATGATGAGGAATATCTGTGCCCTGAGCGCTGGCAGCTCGTTGCCCTACAGCTGTGAACAGACACCTGGACACACTTGCAGGGGCTGGAAATGGGTGAATTGAAGCTGGGGACAAAGCAGCAATTCGAGGGTGAGGTGGATGTGGAGGGCCAGCTCGAGTGAACGGAGGTGGTGGGTGCTGGCCTGTGGCCGGCTTTCCCCACCACCCATGTCCACAGGAGCCTGGGTCATCCCCTGTGGGATCACACTTTTCCCAGTGGTGAGCAGCTGCCTCAGCAAAGCCTCCCAGTCCCCCTCCCGTCCCTTTTCAGCAGCGGAGCCCTAGAACCAACCAGGGAGCCGGTTGAGGGGTTTGTGGGGCGGTGGGTGGGAGGGAAGGGACCGGCCCCCAGTCGCTAGCTTAGCTCATGGGAACAGAATGTGTCCTGCCCATGGAGCCCAAAATATCCCCTGGCACCCTCTGCGCCCGGTGCCAGCTTCTGCTTCCTCACGTAACCCCCACCGCGCCCAGGGCCACCGTGCCCAGGGCCACCATGTCACCGCTGTGGGCCAGACACTGTCACCACGGTGCACACGCAGCTCAGGACCCTGAGCACTGCTTTTGCAGGACAGGTTTTACCCAGACACGCAGGTTTTTCACCCCAGTATGCACCTCTGGGGCCCTGCAGTGCCAGGAGCCATCCCGCGGGTGGCGGGGAGCCAGAATTCCTCCACAAGCCCCCCCCACATCAGCTCCATCCTCGCAGGCACAGAGGGAGAGCTCGGCAGGGTGGGGGTGGATAACCTCCCTGCCCTCTGCTCCTTTGCAGCAGGTAAGAAGCTGTTTGCTTTGGATTTAAGAGTGACAATTTGGCTGTCACCAGGAAGCCGACTCGCTGTCCTTGCTGGGGACAAAGTGGGCTTATCCCGGGGGAACTGCAGGCTCTGGGCACCCTGAGCTGTAAATCCCACCTGGCTGCTGGAACATTTTAGTCCTTGAGGAGCTGCCAGGCAGCAGGGCCGGCGCGGTGTGAGCGGAGGGTTGGGACCAGAGGCAGCTCTAATTCATGATGCGTCCCCGAGCTGCTGTCACCGCCCTCACGCGGGCTCTGGGGTGCCATCCTGCACCCCCAGCTCAGAGCCACCCCACTGCGGGCAGCGGGGTCCCCATCACTCGCCGAGGGGACCGAATCACCTCCCCGGGCACCGCCGCTGCTCAGCCCTCAGCGCTTTATTTCTTTGTCTGGCAGCGGATTTTCAGCCCGAACGACCCCCGGCAGGCAGGGGCTGGGGCTGGGGGGGACCGG